CTCACTGAAGCAACTGAGAGGCGCTTCGAAAAAGCGTGGCTGCTGCGGAGAAGAGTTTAGAGAGGACATATTTTTGTAAATGACTTTTATGATTTGTTAATTGATTTTCACCAACCGACAAAATTCATTTAAAACAATCATAAAAACAGAAAATATTTCATTAAAATTAAGCAAAATGTTCGTAACATTTATGGTTTTTAATGATTTTTACGAGCCTCTACAAATCGGAAAAAATCATCAGTTATGAAAAATGTGAATATGTTGTGATTGTTTTTATGAAACATTTATGAATATTATGATTTTTATATTTTTCAATTACTTTTATGAACATTTTAAGATTTGTTGAGCACATCAAGAAATCCCCAACATAGTTGATTTAACATTCATATTTTTCATAAACAAATCATAAAGTAAAAAACAAAAATCATAAATGCGTTTCAAAGTTTTTTCATAAATAAATCATAAACAAAATTGAAAACCATATTTCCTAGCCTCTCCCCAACTCACAGCTCTACAGAGAAGGGCCAAGGCAAAAAGCGAGACCGCAAGGAGGCTGAGATGGAGTGACAGTTCCTCCCCGCGAGAAGAAGGTCGAGACGGCGGACGCCGTGCCCGGCCCGAGAGAAAAGGAGCTTCTGAGATGGTTAAGAAAGCCCACGGTCACACACCTTGAAGACCACGGTCATTTGACCCAAGAACCCCACGGTCAAGAAACAAGAAAGCCAAATCTTGAACTACGCTTGGCTGCGTGTTGTGTACCGACCCAGCAGTCCAGTCGAACGAATGTTCGTGGTGTCCCAACCAATCCAGGAAGAACAATATTTGCAGAGGCTGCAATCGATTTCAGATCTCGGTCTCCATTGACTGAAACGGGCTCACAGGGAAGCCGGGGACCTCGACTAATTGAGCCACGGGGAGTTCAACAGCCGAAGCGACTTTCCCAAGTGAAGCCCAAGATCCCTTTTACGTTCCTTCGAGCACGCCCGAACTGAAATCGGGGGAGGCGACGGGGGGCTACGCAACCACTCAGCTTTCCTTCATGAATCTTCAATTTTAAGGGCAGCTACTCTCAGGGCAGCCGAACTACAAACACACAATCACAACTACAAACACGCAATCACAACCACTACCAGTACCACAAACACAATCACAAACACACCAGGTGAATCAAAAGGGCGTCTAATGATTTTGATGTTCACCTATCTGCAAGGGGCGTCTAATGAGCACCCCTTTCAGTAACACATTCCCGATGTAAGAGAACGAACCCAAGTAACAATTCCGATTTAAGAGAACAACGTGACAAATTCCCGATGTAAGAGGACAAGGTAGAACCACAAAATCCGAGATCGGGTGACACGGAGTGACACGGAATGACATGGTATGGGCTTAGATCGGGTTTTCTTAAGGTATGTCCCTTGGACACTCCTTAGGCTTAAGGGGTGACCAATGAGCCCCCCCTTGGTTTCCTCGGGTTTTGACCACCGACACGGAATGACACGGATTGACACGCAGGCGGCTGACGTCTCCAGCGACCCGAATCCCAAATCGAATTCGCAAGCATCCCTTAAAAAGTTGTGATTTTATACGAGGATCCCTCAAAAGCACTTGTCAAACACTTAGATTTCTAAGGGGTGTCCAATGGGTTTTAGCTTAAGGGGCGTCCAATGGACACGGTTTCGATCTACCTGGCACAGCCACAAACACAACCACAAACACAATCACAAACACACAGCCACAAACATAACCGCAAACACATCCACAAACACACAATCACAAGCACACAATCACAAACACAACCACAACCACAACACAGCACACAACCACAACCACAACACACAACCACAGCACACAACCCGAGGACCCACAAGCAAAATCGAAAACTACAATACTCACGACCATGGCAACATTCTCCTCCCTATGGCATCAAGACAAATGATTGACATGTCATGGTGGGGATCACTCGGTCAACAAAACTCCGTTGAATAGTTTGGCTCGGGTTGAATCCGCACATGAAGAGACTCATGATGAGACTTATGAGGGGGGTTGAGCTTGCGCAGCTGCTGAAAGAAAGCAAGAGTTTACCACCAGAAAATGCAGATAATGGAATACTGAATACTCTTCCTTCATAGATCATCCAGGAATGGCTTCGAAGGCGTTAACAAAAAGTATGAACTGCATAGACGCAACCCCCACCCCACTCTCGCCGCACATCCCAGTCTTTTCTCCCGATCGCACTGCTATGTTGTTTTGCCTCTTTTTGGGCCAGAAAGAATTATATACACTCCCGAAAACTAACATGGACCCTGACATTGGCCTCTTGGAAGATTGTTTTCCTCGACCAACCAGTGGTTTTCAGGGTCCCTGGGATCGTCTTCCAGGGTGTCGTCCAACAATTGGGGCATGAACTCGTCAAACCTCCCAACAGCTCACGTTGCGAACGAGAGCAAATGTCCAGAAAGTGATTACAGCTAACTACGTTAAATAGTCAGAGCCTTTGCGTCTGAAGACGGTTTTTGGTGGCGTGAATGGACTGATTTGAATTTGGACACATCTGGAGCGGACGACTTTCAATCAAATTTCAACAATGTGTCGACCGAGGAAAAATTATCGCCTCAGCCAGTCCAGGAACTTCATATAGTTCGTTCTGAAACTCGTCTAAGACGTAGACATCGCCTCAGCCAGTGCTCAACCTCCTCGCTCCAAGCGATCCGACCTCGCCGACGACGCATGAGTCCTACGTGGGTTTTCGCGGACCGAGTCCTACGTCAACGTCCCCACGGAGATGTTGTCGGCCGATGACCTCCTCAAGGCACTGGCGTCGCACGGCACCGGGCGCCCGACGCAGAGAAGTGAGACACCGCGAAACGGATGAGATGGAGGTAGAGCACCGCATTCATCACGGCAGTGGGATTCCACGCGGAAGAAACACACACCATGAACCCATCAAGATGACGCAGCCTTGGTTCCTATGTAATATATGCAAAGCAGGCATCTTATACAGAAGCCCTGAATCTCAAACCTTGCAGCATTTTGGACCTCCATATTTTCTCCCTCCGTCAACGGCAGATGGAGAACATCCACGCTCCGCACATCGATGTGGACGGCAATCCGAACTTCTACTGGTTCGAGGAGCGGTGAAGGGTGGAGCGGGGTGATCTGGTGGACGTGAACGGTTGATGAGGACGGCTCCCTAGATCTGGATGTCTCGATCTATGTTGTTTGGGATTGGGATTTTCTGGCTCGACATTGAGATAAATTGAGTCCTTATATTTTGATCCATGTTACACTGGATTGGCAAAGTCCTTGGATTATGTTAGTTTCTCATATAGGTTTCTGGAGACAACATGCTCATCATGGGATCGAACTCAAGAAGCAGCGGTAAGTCGATAGCTGTTGAGAAATCAGTCCTGATCAAAAGCTCAATTTCCCACTTTTCGATTATTAGCACTCAGAAGCCTTCTTGTTTATTGGGGAGAGAGGACACACAAGAAGCGCCACTGGGCGTTGAACTCATACACATTGTGTTCATGATCGGCGCTCACTAGTATTGACCACTAGCTCAAACCCTGTGGGCCCTCTTTTTGTCGTCACAATGTCCATTGAAGATCTTACATGAGAGCTTCAGGCAGGCGTCCAAAACCTTTTTGGGGGGAAGTCGTGGATCTTTCACTGGCCAATGTGGGCAGAAACGTCGAACCGCCTTGGTTCATGAGATAAAGAACTCTTTTTAAAGTGTTGGTTGACTCCAGCCACCTGGCAACTCGGTTGGGCAGCAGCCCAGCATATGGACAGCGGAATGGATCAAGCAATCCATGGCAATCCAATGATCTCATTGGCTGCCAAAACCATGACTTATGGGCTGAGTATCTATCAGTATATAGATTCTCTCATTATCCATTCACCATCCATGCCGAGCCCCATGTCGCCAGGCAGCGCTGCCTGGATTCCTGCTGAGGCCAGAGACCAGGGAGTGGAGTTGGAGACTGCCAAGTGGTTTTGACTGCAGGTGATGTCATTATTGTGAGTCCAAAGCACCAAGATCTGGGTGAAAGAAAGATGGTGAAAGGTTGTGGATGAGAGGGTTTGGCACGATTTGGCCCATGTCCTCACTCATGGTGTGGAAATCCTGTTCGCATTATCGCATTATATACCAGGTGTTCAGGGACAAATGTTGATATTTCCATGATGGCGATTTCCAGCGACATCAGCGGCCGGCTTTCCACCAGTTTCGGGCACTGTATGGCGCATGGCGCTCCGAAACACCTCGGAGTTGTTCTGATGTTGAGCAGATTGAATCAACGTTGGACCAACTGACGCCCCCCTCCGAGCCTTGATGCTAAAGCCTGAACACCCTGGAGTCCCTGGAGGGATTCAGAATGATTCAGAAGTGTTTGCGGGTTTTATCAGAAGCATGCTCAACCAGATCAGGACGTTGAATGCATTTAATGGTGTGGCGTCCTTTTTTGAGATGTATAGACATGTATAGATATGTTTGCCTTTGCAACGCCGTCGCAACATTTGCTGGAGCATCGAGCCGCTTGGAGCTGCCAACAGACGATGTGGAAAGACCGCCCTGCAAGTTCACTGAAAAGCTATCGGTTGCTACAGACTTGTGCTTTCAGTACTGTGCAAAACGTGAGTTTGTTTGCACTTGTTGGGCGTTGCATGGGACAACATTTATCCCCAGGTCTTTGCAGTTGAGGAGTACCTTGGCATCGTGCAGCATGTTCCCCTGGCTGTGTCAGAGTCATGCACCGCGAGAGCCGCAGCCGTCCTTGACGACTTTTTGGAACGCCGAAATCTGAGGGTGACTTTCGGATCAACGTTGTCTTCTGAGGCAGCTGGGACACACAGGAAAGAAGCAGCCAGGTACCATGGGTCGTAGTAGAAGTCGTGAGCGTGCGCAGGAAGCTATCAGAGTGCAGGCAGCTTCAGTGCACCACAGCCTGCTTTGCTTTCCGCCACTGCCTTGATCACACGTAATTGGCTGCATCCTGCACGACCAGGCCAGCAGGCCACACATTTTGTGTTGGTTGGAGTTTGGAGGTCAAAGCAGACTCCGAAATCTGCTTGCACTGAAACACGCTCAGACAACGACCTGCACCCACGGGATGTGGTGTTCATACTGGTGGTCTGATGGAACATCGTTCCCGCCAGGCCATCAAACAAACATGAGGAAACCGTGTTTTGGATATGTTTGGAGTGTCAATATTGTTGCATATTTTTTGGAGTGAGTGTGTTGGTCAGTTACCACATGTTACCACACAAAAGAAGAAGGTCAGTTTTAAAAAACATATATAAAAACTAGGAAAAATACAGTGTCGCGTCGTTCAGCGTCCATGGTTTTGAGCCAATCATGACGTCCGAGTTTTCGCATCTCGTTTCACCGAGAAAAGTGCCCAATCGAAAGAACTGCCGGTGCCCGGTGCGGAGGAAGCTCACCGTGCCGATCACCACGTGTTTCTACAGTGCCCTGCGGAAGTTGAATTCTGAGAACCACTCGCTCTCAGGAGATGTTGTTCGCTGGTAACGCTTGGGAGCGAGAGTTTAACATGTCTCGTCTCGTGTTTTTTTTGAAAAGACACATGTTCTGGGGGTACAGTGCATATATATATACACATATACATACAAATATTAACTGTAAACAATACGTGAGGCCGGGTTGATTTCTTTACTTGACATATGACATATGTAAATCTCCATTGTGGGGTCATTACGGCCAGGTTATGCCCTTAGAGAATCTGTGAGAGACGAGTTCATGTGGGAATAGCTGTATCCGGTGCCTCACGCCACAGGAGGTGAAGTTATTGGGTTGACATCAAAGATTCCCAGCTCCGTGATAAACACAGATTGGAATATGTATAGATAATTGCAGATAGGTTGTCGGTTGACATATCCGCAACATGACTAGTGTACATGTTTGATTGTATTTTCCAGCAGGGAGCACAACAACTCTGCCATATATAACAATATAAATATATACACATTCCGACTGCATCAGTCAGCATGTACCAAGGTGTTCATTACTTCTGAGTCATGAGCGAATCCCAAGTGAACGGACCATAGACACTCACATCCAGGTATTGTCCGAAAGCACCAAGGCACCCGCCCCCCTAACACTCCTGCGATTTCGCAGGAGTCTTTGACGATGCCTTGAATGATCCCAAGCACAACACCTGGAAAGCGGTCCTGGGCCCGAACCAAACCATGCGTGACTGGGTGCGGTGTCCCAGATGGGACGGGGGCTGGAGTGGTCCACCTGGGACCGGAGGGGATGGGGAGGCTCTCGGAGCTCGGCTTCGTATCGGAAGCTCACGACTTGAGTGAAACCAAGTCATCACACTGAGCCAGCTCCTCATATTTCAGCCGATTCGTGGGAAGATGCCGTGTTTCTGTGTCATGTACTCGGTCCTTTAGGAGGTTTGTGGGCACGTTATGTATGTTTGTGCAAGGTAAGAAAAAAATGGGTTGGAAAGTGGTGTTTTGTTGAACATGCTTTCTTGCAATAAAACAGTGCCAAGGTGGACATCCCACGCTGTCACGTGCGGATTTCGAGAACAACTGCAGTAGGAGGCAAAGCATGCCTCATACGTGTGTCACATGTCTTCTTGTCCTACACCCATCCTACTATATATCGGGGGCGACACCCATTCGGTTGGCGCCCAACTGGGTGGCGCAGGGATGACCTCCCATGGCACCACTGAAACGCTGCCTTGTGACATCGGACGTATTCCTACGTATATGTACTTTTGGCAGAGTTGAAGAGGGCCAGGTAGTATACTGTAAGTGACCTGGCCTTGGTCCAAGACTTACCGAGAGCCACTCTTGAAAGCTTTTTGTGGCATGGCATTCCCATGGTTTCTGCGCTCCTTTGGCCCCCATAGATTCTGCGGTTGATAGGGAGACCCTATAGCTTTTGGCCCGGCACGGGTGTGACGCAGCACCCGGGAGCAGGGCACACCTCCGAGATCAGTCAGGTAATGAGCTTCTATGACATCGCACATACCTGGGATGGCACCTTGGCCCACGCAGAGAGGAGTTTCGTTCCAGGAGGCAGCTGAGGCTGAGACATTGGAGTTGTTTGTGGAAACCTGTTGTTGACCGTCCCCTGATTATGTATTGCTTTGACGTGTTAATACTGGGGGTACATGGTGACAATACATGAGGACAGAAGCTCAGGAATGATTCCTTGATGGTGTAGATGTACACATGTGATTTGTGAGTGTAACTCTTATCCCCATGTTCGTCCACAGCGGCGGCCCAGAGTCTAGCAACTATATTTTTTGTTACCAACACACTGACTATGGCTGGTGGTGAGAGGTTTCCCACGTACATGGGTCAGACTGAGGAAACAAGCTTTGGCCCAAGCAGATGACGGACTTCAGCGTCTACTTCAAGAAGGATTCCATGCCATTGGCTCCCTGATGGCTGGTCAACAGATGTAAATTACTGGTGTTCTTTCATTCGGTCAGGTGTCGAAGCGCGAGGGGTGCAGAGAAAACCGTTGTATTTTTTTGTGAGGATTCTTTTGGAGTGGACTTCGGAAACAGGTCTTGTCAATGGAACCGGTGAAGAAGAACGCTCCAAGCCTTTGAAGGAGCGGTTAACAGCAGCAGCTTCACACAGAGTTTTTGTTTTTCCTGAGCAGTGCTGGAGAATGACCCTTATGGACCCTTATATCCATATATGCATATATGACCGTTATAGATATATCAGCATATATCAGATATACTGCTCATAGAATTGGGGATCAGAAGAATGAATTTGGATGTTCATTGGGGACGTCCGTGGCTCAGACTGTGGGGGTCGTGTTGGTCTACACTGGAGTTGAGGTGTCCGGGACGTTAGGAGCATGGGGTCGCCCGAACATCTACAGGTTCTCATTTCAGGGTTTTCCTTGAGCATCGAAGCATTCGAAGCACCTGGCTTTGCACTGGGTATGCGACACAGAGTCGTAGGGTGTACGATCCATATGGTTGAGAAAGGTAGACATTTGTACCCTTGGTCTTTCTAGATCATTGCCATTATCCACTCACAAAGTGTGATGCACCCAACATTACCCAGCCAATATAGCGTCATGTAGCCATTTTCTTGTCCATTGGTGATGTTCACCTTTCTTCCGATCGTGGCCTTTGAGTTTGCAGGTGTGTGTCAGACCCCAACAGCACCCGCGCGGGCATCAAACACGGCTCCTTGCTCGAACTTGCATCCGCAGCTTGACAAAGCTTCAGCTGCTTAAACTTTTGAGACGTAAAGGGATTGATGTGCAGAATGCCAATACTATCGTGACACAAGTGATGGAAAAAAGTCAGACTCCACCATCTATTTGGGGACCACATGGGATCCAAAAACAAACATGTGCTGAAGACTGAAGCTGGCTACCATGCGTGACAGTTGGAACTTATACAAACCGCTGTTGCTATAGATGTTCCATCCAGCATGGCTCCCATGTCCTTGTCGCAGGCAGTATGCCTGTGGAGTCTTTACCCCAGAGCTTGCGATGGCCGAAAGCCCATAGTGGAGACTTCAAGCAGTTTTGATCGGAGGTATGAGGTATGAGGATAGTTCATCCCACCAAATCCACAACCAAACCCACCTCGCCCCTTCCTGATCCCTGCTTGCAGCAGAACTCACTATGGCACCTAATGGCCATGTGCCGGCGTCTGCGCGGGCGTCCGCGCGCTCGACGAGAACGCGGCATGGGGCACGTGCGCGGGAAGCAGTAAGCGCCAGATTGCTGCAGCAGCTGCTCGGGCGAAGAGAGGGATGGCTGAAGCAATGATGGAGATGGGGGGAGCCAGCCAATCAGCGAAAGACCTACAGTATATGAACGTATTGTAATTGTCATCCTCGTGATTCCTCGTGTAGATAGACAATGAAACACTCCAAACAGAGAAATCAGGAACAATGAATAACTATGAATAACTAAATATGCTGAACAGATCAATGCATTGTTGGGTCGAGGATGCCAATAATAGATCAGTTGTTTAAGGTTGGGTGCCCACACGTTGCCCATGTATGTAGG